TAAGTTATGCATTTCGGGTCCCTTGTAAATGCGTTCGGATAACGCGACCCCTACTGACGCGACCTCTAAACCTTGTCCTGTGAACCCCGGTCAGCGCCACAATTGTTAATTGATGAGTTTCATCATTTAGAGCCCGGACCTTCTAAATTCCAGGGCTACGTAACTTATCATAACGCGAACGAACGTTAGTTTCTTAACGTAACAAAACATGTGCTCAAGAAAAGTTGAATTGATTAATTTTCAAACAAGCTGACACGTTGCTCAGGTACTACGTAAAGACAGTTTGGACGGGTCAAATTTGTACCATCTCTTAAGAGGGTATGTCGACAAAAATTTACTCGTTTATAACTTTAGCGGCCAAAAGTATTCATACTTTTTGTGACTTTGACCTTTGAATTCGACTGCCTAAGCGGACTCGCCGAATGCGTTTGTAGTGTTGGAGACCTTTTGACCAACAAAAGCGGTTTTGTTTTCAAAATAGTCCTCAAGTCCAATGCAGAGGTTAAAAACATGTGATTGAAACAATTTTTTTAAATTTTGTTTATTTCTTTTTTTTACTAAAGTGTTAACAGTTATATACTTGTGGCAACATAATACATTCTCCATCAGATTTCAATTAATAATGCAATACTGTCAACAGGTTATATGATCATTCACTACATATTTTTCAATTAAAGATTAAATATTCTTGAAGAAGAAATAAGTTTGTACCAGCAGTCAGAACTAGGACCACTACTGGGGCTATAAGTTGTTTTAAATGTAAATGACGCAGTGATGTAGTTGGGAAGTACATTTAGGCTATCTTTTAAGTATCATTTCTGGCAAATCATGATGCCGTAAAATGTGAAGGCCACAAACTTCAGTTTCTGATCCCTTTAAAGTGCGGGGACAGAAATGAAAACGGCTCATGACATGCGCCTAAGGTAAGGATGAGATGAGCAAGCCTATTCTTGAACAGATGGGTACATGGTACGATGAATGGGAGACAAAGCTGGGTGTGAAACGTCTTAGAATACTCGTCGGCCGACAATGAGACGTTAACTGTTGGACTTCCCCACATTTTACTGCTGCTGGTAGGTACACAGGAACGAGAGCAAGCTTATGTGGGTGAGGGCACCGGGCAGTTTCATTTAAAGACCGTCAAATTTTCAGCTACTGCACTGAACCGAGGAAACCGAGGGAAAAGCGGACAGCACAACCATACAATTTCGAAACTGTCGCGTATTTTGTGTCTACCTGCTGCGACAAATTTAAAAATGAGTCATTACACTGGAAGAATCGTTTGTTTGAGCCTTCTGCTGGGGAATAATAGAGGAGCAGTAACGTAAAACTAAAAAACAGTATGAAGGTGCAGGCTTGATTTTTTAGTTTCTTTATAATATACAAGTCTGGTAAAATTTGGACAGCAATATTTGGTAATAAGGAACGCTTCAGCTTGAGGCAAGCATAAAAAGCCATCCCTGCTGAACTCTGAACTCAGAAAATGCCTGTAGAAGCTTACACGGTTACACATGCGCGTGTAACGCACATTCTTCAATGCGATTCGAAGCGAGCTTTAAGAGCGCCACCGATTATAACATTTATTGCGCTTTCTACGCACATTAAGGCGCATTTCATGTAGTAGTCCTTCCCGTGAACGCAGATAATGTTAAAAAGATTCGCTCAGAGGCGTATTGTATAACATTATGTTACAACTGCTTTTGTTATGAAACTGCCTGGCGAACTACACCCGGGAACCTACTCAACGGTAGAAGGGAAAATGAGAAAAGGGGCGAAATGTTGCAGTACACCCACAAAAAGTATCGCAACAAAGACGAGAGACAGAAACATATGTAACACAGAGAGTGAGGAGCTGGGGGTCTCTAGGATGGAAGCTACACCACAGTATTCTTAAAAAAAAATATTAGACGAAATCTGGTTAGTTGAACATTACGAACTATATAACAGCACCGGACGTCTTAAGCGTACTCGATTCCGGACCCGATACTATTCTAAGGTAATAACATCTTTTAACGCACTGAACAATTTGGACCAACACGGACACAGTAATAAACCGTAGTCTGGAAGCTTTGGAGACGTAGTAATCACACATTTTCCCGCATTTGCATTTTGAGCGCTCAAGCATTACGTTTGTCTTGACAAAAACTGGTGAAATGAATTGAGCTACATCTTTCGTTGGGGCTAAGCGTCCTGCCAGGGACGGAAGAAAACATTTTCTTATTTTCTGTTTTCACTTTCGTTTCAGGTTTGGGAGGCAGCATCAAAACAATTTGATATAAGACAAAGCCACAATACACCGGGCTTCCATACGCAATAACATTAATACATGAATAAAATTCTTCCCACTTGGATAAACTCTTGCCATCTCTTTCAGTACCATAACATGATAACAACAACAATATCAACAACAACAATAATTTCAACAAGGGTTATCATGGCTGTGCTTCGTGCGCAATATGCTAAGTTAGAACAAATATGGCAAAAAAACTTGAATTTAGTTCGGCTGCGAAGCAGTTCGCCTGTTAGCCCAGCATAAATAATGAATCAACTTTTGTATCAAATTCAGTATATACTATTCACACATTTCAAGGTATTCAACAGTTATATTTATATTACCAGCTGTTCTCCACAGAAGTTCCAACAAATGGCCATACACACTTTTAAACACTATTACAAAAGACAATCTACAGAAGTATCACAACCTGCAGCCATACATCACATCTCTTCAAGTCCTAGCAAGCGCTGAATGCAAAGTCTGATCCAAATGCTAAGCTTAGAATGCCTTAATCGAATGTAAATGGATGTGCAGCATCTCGCATGGCCGAAATTTTCATACCCTCACTAACAAAAGTGGGACAGAAATAACCACCAGCCCGCTGAAGTCTAAGATCATGTTCAATTTTGATAACGTTACCATACACGGATAAAAGTATTTCTTTAAAACAAAAGCAAAAAACAAAACAAGAAAACAATAAGTAGGTCTGAAATGAAAACCAAATGTGATTTTGTTAACAAAGATTCGCACCTTTTCGATTCTGCCCAATACTGTAGTTTCTTTGCATTGTGCATCAGTTAAACTTTTCTACGATTTTTTTGGTAACTTATCACAAGAATCGTTTCTCACTCTAATTATCACTAAGTCTTGATATGTGCCCAACGGCTTATAATAATATTGAAAGAGAGAATTCGTTTACAAAACTGTAATGATTAGAACTTATCGTGGGACAATACTATGCAATACCAAAGGCAATCGCGACGGGCACACGTCACGACAAGAGTATTTACCAAATCAAAAGCTACTTGAAAACACTTTGACTCTCCACTGGTTAAAACAATAGTATATATAATAAGTTGCTTGTTTACATGTTTGTAATAGAAACGGTAAATGTACAGGAAAAACATCTTCAGTATTATAGTGAAAAAGTCCTGAAACAGCTTCTAACCCGTAATCTTTCCACAGCTGTGTACATCACTTGCGATGCGGGGAGAGGTCCAGCCCAGCGCGGTGCACTATATACATATGTACACGTTTATCGCTCATGCCAAATGAAATAAGAGAGATGAGAAAAATGGGAAAGAGCGCGCGGCCTGGTGGGATGTTAAACACGCCGTCTACAGTGGAAACAAACGCCACAAAGAGAAAGAAAACATTCTTACAATAGATACAAGTTGGTGAAGTTGTGGTTCCACTTCATAGCAAGTTTACCTTCCAACACCAGGATGGCGTGCAAGTAATATAACAACATTTAACAACAATAACATGACAACAATGCAGCTATTACACACAAATAAAGTTATTATTGCTTTTCTCAGTGTCGTGGCTAGGACTAACTACGTCCTGCCTGTAGAAGACGAAGAGAGACTGTCTGGACGCATTGACTCAGTAACGTTTTGCGTGGTAGGCAATGCATCGCACGACCTATCAGCGCACGAACATGAGGCCAGTCTGACAGGTAAATAGTCCGATATCTTCAGGGAACGTGAGTCACATGCAGACGACTGTAATCGTCGAGGACAGCCTCACAAAGAAAAAAAAGAAAGAGCACAAACGAGCCGGACTGCTTGCTTCCGCAAGCCTCGACTTCTCCTAAATAGTATTACAAGTGGTGGAAAATCTACGGAAAGTATAAACAGGTTGGTGTTGCATCGCAACAACCAAACACGCGAGTCAAATTCGTACACAATCACAAAGTCAATTGAAAGGGCTAGAAATGTTGAAATGTTCAATACTATCATACATTACAAAGACCTTATTAAAAAATTTGTCTTTGTCTACAATAACTACTTCCGAATCCTTAATACAATAATGAAAGATAGAAACAGATTTCCCATTTAAAAACCAGTTCCAAGGTACGCGAGCCGAAAATAGCTCATTTTGGTACGGTATATTTTTCGACGGTGTAAGCATGTAAAAAGCAAGTGTGGTGTGCCGACCTGCTGGAGTACACTACACGCGTCTCTGTTTTTGTGTCTCTCGCACCTTCGGTTCTCCTAAGAAATGCCGTCCAATACACCCAACCCACTGCCCGTGCCATTCCCAGTCCCAGTCTTAAAAGAGATTTGAGCAATCGTAACGCGTTCCGTCCGTCCTTGGGGCCAGATTAGAAGGTGGTGCTGCCACACGTAACACAAAACAGGCAGGTTATCATACTAACGTCAATAGCACTATTTTCACGCAACACGTTTCGTCTAAAAAATTTATTATTCTGACTGTCAGACGCCAATATGAGCTTGTGGATGTTTATTAATTGACATGGGCGAAACAAATGGGAAGGCGGAAATTATCACTAGGGTGGACTGGCACGAGGAAGCCATTCTATCAAATTTAAGTCCAAAAGCCTCTCAGGCGATATACTCATTCGGCGAATTGAAGCGTTTTTTGATTATTTTTCTGATAACAAAGTCTCTTAAACTTAACAACGATGGAGTAATGAGGACGACATTGCTTTGATGAGTTTTCTCAGTTTGGGATTCCTTTTATGCAAGGTGGTTGTGATTTCTTGTGTTTTCGAAAAGTGCGAAAAATTCAGCTCGACAATCAGAGTATGAAGAAGGCTGGGGTCTGGACCCACAGACATCATCAAGCAGCATTCTCTTAAAAATATGCAAGAATGGAGAAAACTGTATCAGACCAATCGACGAATTCTGCTGAACGGGAATACACTTAATCTGAATTTTTTGATACTTGATGAACACAAACGTTTGCGACAGCTCAATTTTGTGACATCGCCGACTTATCGCTTTTCTGAACATGATAACTTTTATCGCAAAAAGAAAACGCAATGGAAAGTTATAACAAAAATGATGTGATAACTTTTTATCGCAAATTTGTAGTTTTGTCAATAAATGGAGTTGGTAAACAATGCTTAATGCTTCCGATTAAACGCTATCACATTATTTTTGTGATAACTTTTACTATTAATCGCCTTTTTATAATAATAAAAAAAGCTTAGCATCTCTATAGAAAAGCAATAAATAGAAAGAATCTCAAAACACGAGTTTTGGCGGAAATGGGAATTAATTTATCACAAATACCGATTCAGTGAATTGAGTCTGTATTAACGAGAATACCGTGACGTAAAGTCATCGTGCCAAAGGACTAACCCACATCCGTTCAAACATGCAGACCATCATTCTCCTGACACTAGATTCCTCTTCCACCCTGGCATATGTGGGTCCAACACTAGATATTCCAGCCTATTTTACCCCCTGGTTGACGGCGGGAAACTGCGTACTCCCTTCCAAACGATTAAAATATCACCATAATAATGAAGGAGTTCTGACAGGTAATGAGAAGGAAGAAACGGGAGCACCCATATGCTGTCAGTATTGTCTCCGCTCCCGAGGCATCTACGTGTTAAAGACTGTGTTTAAGACACCAAGAAATGTTATACAAAACGAACAAACACAACACTAAGCTTTCAACTATAACACAAGCTGTACAAAACAGGATTAACAAAATTAAGTTATCTTTACAATGGTCAACATTTATAAAATATATGTTGTAGATCTATACTTAAAAAAGTTACAATGGGTTAGTAATTAGTACATCTAGAATGTAACTAGCCATAGTAATTACTATGACTGAGTTTTAACGAGTAATGTTTAGTTAATCCGTAATACTTCTTTCAAGGTTTATTGTTTAATAGTTAGTGCCTTTATACATACTAAAATAAGGATCTATATCGAAAACCCCCTTATAAGGTAAGTTAAGTCGCAAAGTCAACTCATTTGTTCTCAATACCTAAGTCCACCCCGAATCTATACAGATCGGGTGGGAATCACGAATCGCAACACTAGACGGCAATGTTTACAATGAGTCGTACGGGAGTCAAATTTTAAATGAATGGTGATTCGTTCCTCATCAAATAGGTATAGGATTTCGTTGCAGCGGGCTCAACCTCAATCGCACCTTCCAATCATATTTTGCTTGTATCTCACTTCCTCACAGATGACCCATTTTGTAATGAAGAAAGAATCGAGAAGCCAATTTTGTGCGTTAACATTTTCTTGCGTGAGAAAGTGGCACTCGTTTTTATTTCCACGTTGGGAAAAGAGCAGTGAAGATGTTTTTCACCGACAACCTAGACCACTGCCGCCAACCGGCTCCACTACCGTATGTTTCGTCCCCGCAATAACATCCCATGTCCACATATAACTACAAACGAACTAAAGCATCATTAGTACATACCCTGGCCTACCCTAAAATAGATGGAGGAAAAGGGGAGAGGAAGCAGTCTTGGGGTTGACAACAGTGGCATTGCACAGCCCAGGCCTTCGAGCCGAGCGCGCTCGGGCTGGGGACGTGTGGCAACAGTGGTATCGTTGCCACATTTCCGCCCGAGATGCGCCCAACCATGCCCAGAGCTTGCATTACAAATATATCGTCCTCACCACACCACCACGTTAGACAGGACACTCGTAGGGATACTTGTACTCGAACATAAGCGACACCGCCACGAACACAAAGTACAGCAGAAACATGGTAAAACCGAGGCCCTTGTTCATACGCCAGTTGAAGCAGGCGATGGACATGATGACGAAGAGCAGCATCATGAAGAGAATGGCGATGGAACAAACCATTCCGTGGCTGTTGACCTCCACAGGCTTCCCATAGATGATGCCGTAGAGCAGCCAGGGTACCGGCAACCTGAGGAAGAATTTGTAAATTAGTAGTGGATAGAATTTTAAGCCGATTCGTTTCTGAATAGTAATCAAAAACAAATCTTACCCAACAGTCACGTCGAATATGTTGCTTCCGACGGAGGAAGACACAGCCATGTCTCCGAAGCCTTTTCTGGCTACGATGACACTGGTGATAAGGTCAGGGATAGACGTGCCGGCCGCCAAGAAAGTAAGTCCCATCACCTAGGCAAAGACAACACAGCACAGTTGTTTACGTTTACTTAAACAGAAAAACAAATAAGGTGATATAGAACATACCTCTGGGGGTATCCTCGCAGTATCACCAACGAGATTCGCCCACCACACCATAAGGTAAGAGTAGGCGGCAATCCAGCATATGCTACCGATAAAGGTGACAGGGAAGAACCTTTTCCCTGGAAAATGAAAACAAATACACGCAAACATTTAAGCTATTTTGCACAGGAGTATTACCTTAATAATGCAAACCACTCTATCAATTCAAATGTGTACATAGTACACATTAAAGAAAGTGTACATGGCATGTATGCTTTAATTAATGTGTACATGGCTATGTACACATTTATAAATGTGTACACGACCGTGTCCATGACCATGTACACATTCATAAATGTGTACATGCCCATGTACACATCTTTTAAAGTGTACATACAACCGTTAGTATACATGCCATGAACACATCTTTTAATGTGTACATAGCCATGCACACATTAATTAAAGCATACATGCCATGTACACTTTCTTTAATGTGTACTATGTACACATTTGAGTTGGCAGAGCATACAGGAAACTGTACTTCGGACTCAACAAACAATTTAAGCGCAGCCGCCTGCTTAGTACGTTCATTAAGGTAAAAAACAACGAAAGTTTCAAGAGGTAAAGCTGACGGTAGCGCCTGAGCAGCTACATGAAACCCATCCTAAGCGACCACGTGCAACTCTCGCGTCACCTCGTCGCAACGTTATACTGTACTAGGTTGGGGCAGTAGACCCCTCGCGATCTGATTCGTGGTCGGATCGTGACGTCACCATTTGCACTCTCGCTCAAAGTTCAAATTACGGCTCGTGCTCGTCGACCTGCTCGGCATCTTAGTAAACGTATCGTCATTTATCGATGCTGAGGGGTGCTAAGACAAAATACCGTGGATATTTTTATCCTGTGTTTGTTATGACACATAATATTGAGACGGGCAGACGAGCCTAATTTGAATTTTAACTACGGGCGGGAGAACAAATGGTGACGACACGATCCAGCTACGATTCAGATCGCGAGGGGTCTACTGCCACAACCTACTGTATAACCTTGACCTCGTGGGACAGGTTCTCAGAACATCTTTAGGTACAGGCAGGCGCACATTAAGGTCCGGCTGGCAGGAGGGGTGATGCACCGTCGGTTACCTACATTCAGAGTTTTGTGGCGCAAATTGCCTTCCTTTCAGGCGGCTCTCTAGGCTTTCTTTATCCCGGTTTAGGACTATCGTTTACCGTTTGGGTATTACTTTTCCCGGATTTAAGACAACGTTTAACGGTAAATCTTCTCGTGCCACATCCCTCGGAGAGTGATCATCGTGGGGAAGCACAAGTGCACCCTCTCTAGGCTCTTACCTCCTGGTGTGCGCGTGTCGGGTAGAGTGAGCCAGAGCGGGAAGATGATGGGTGCCACCAGGACGTAGGTTATCCTCTTGCGGTTGCTGTCGGGCCAGGACATGTCGAGGGCCTCGGGAGCTTCCTGCTCATCGCCGTCAGCCATCTGCAAAGCCCAATCTTACTTACATCCGAAACAGGAACACGACGAGCTCTGCAGGACCCGCATGCTGTTGAGTGCGGCTTGAGTAAGTTATCAGAATATCGCGTCCTTTCTACAAAACCGGCTTAGAAACAGTGGGGAAAGGAGTGGTACACTGTGTAAAATTAGCTTGAGGGTTAAGGCAAAATTTTCCATTAAAAAAACTACAGATTCAAATAGTGACATTAGTAATAAAAATGTAAAATCAAGAATTGAAATTGTAAACTTACAAAAAAAAATACACGAAAATACTGTGAATTGACTTAGATCTATTCGAAGAACCAATCGTACTTTTATGGCCACGTTTGTAACTTTACGACTGCGTTCATAGACAAACAGTTTTACTTGCAAATGAAAGTTATTAAAAATATTGTTCGATTACGAAGTTATTTTTCACAGTGTTGTCACTTGCAGAGTTGTGCTATAAAGTGCGTGCGATTGATTCCCTTGTTTGAAATGCACTTGTTTGTGAAGCGCAGACTTTTCCCCATGCCGTCGTTCTCTAATCACGTAGCATACATCAGAACAGGAAATGTTTTCTAATACGAGAAATACCATTAACAGATGCAAAATTTACTGCGCTGAGGTCTGCTGCAGATCAAAATTACTCACGATTAAGAGGAGTAAAGAATGGCAAAGACGCATAAAAACCGCAAGTGACACAACGGCTTTGAAATGTCATGATTGATTGCATGATGCACGTGGACCACAACAAACCCACCAATCCCACTCAGGCTCTAATTCATTCCCCTCCAGTACAACCCGTCCCGTCGTAGTCACAGGGCAATGATTTCCGTCATGTGTATACGTAAGTGGAAGTTCTCTTTAACGGAAAACTGAAGTCGACCGCGCAGACATTAGGAAGGTTACTTACAGCGTCACCACCAGGGTTTAGCCCCGTCAGCTCGGTCTGAGACGGTAGAGTGGACCTTCGAGTCTGAAACATGTATAGAAGGGACTGTGGAGACAGCTGCTCGGAGAGTGCCGGCTAAAACAACCGTTTGTGTCGGGCCATGCATCGCCACTAGTTTGTCGGTTTCTTTGGCACAGCTCTCAGGACCGTCACCTCTTTCTCAAGGCGTTTGCACATTACTCTTCCGAAACAATTTTAATTGTTTTAACAATTACAGCCATTTACTTATTTTATTAACATGCTTATGCCTCTTTATCTGTCTTTGTTTCGAGGCCAATAAACTTTAGTCATGCTTCAATAGAAAAGGGGTGCAATAGTTTTTTAGCGATGAACTAGGTTGTGAGGTAGCTATGACATCGTTTAATCTGCCTACCGCCTATATGATACAAGTATGTCAATGCGATTTCCACCAGCCGCCTTCAATCTTTTAACAACATTGCTATAGGCTTAGGAAGAATCCCTACACTCTACCTTGTTTAAGCCATTTTCAAGTACATGTAGGCTTCCTAAGGTACTGTCAGCCGTATCAAAGCTACTTTGTCGTAAGGGTTTTTTTTTGTGTTTTTTTTTTTACAAAACAGAGGCTTGTACAAAGAATGTTACTGAGGCTGGGCGCTACAGTATGTTTGTGGTTCAAAGTAGCGTTTACTCGTGATTTCTTGTCAGCGCTGCAAAGCATACCCAGCCCGAGGTAAGGCCGGACAGTGCTGTAGAATAGACTACAAAACTGATGAAGCAGATTGACCGATTTCAAGCAAAGCTTTTATTGGGGAGCGAACTTAGTGGTTTATAGAGAAAATGCAAGTTACATATTAAAAGCGAAGAAGTTTTTTTATGCTGCATCTGTTTAATTCTCAGTCTTTAGTAAGAATTGTCCCCGGGGATGGCGTCCTATTATCTAAAAAGAGTCGAAGTCAGTGCAATAAGGTCAAAATTGTCACTGCGATGTTTTTATTGATAATTTACACACATGATTTGCCTGAGTAAGTCCCCATCTCAAGACGAACCAGCTGGAAATTAACGGGAGAATAAGGGAAATGATATGAGATGGGAAGTAACGAAAATGAGATGACAGTTACGACATGATTGTGAAATACACGAGTGCCCATTTCATAGCACCCAAAGGAGTTCAGCACCCGAAAAAACAGTGATTTGAAGAAAAGAAAATATTGTTTGTTAATTTTTCATTGCCTCGTAGTTTTGCACAAGCATCGCCGAGCATGCAGTTTAATACACTGTGGTCAGGCAGATTCGTAGCAGTAAGCGAACGTTAAACTGGAAAAACAAAGTCGCGACTTTTTACAATTAAGTAATCAAGCTCTGGGAACTTTGAAATATACCAGAAATTGGCTAAAACTGCCAAAATTTACTTTATGACACATTTGTTAAAAAATTCTCCTCCTGAGAATGGTATAATACCCCTTATTATTTAATATCCCGCAACAACAATTCCTTTGTTTCTCCAGAGCGGGGCAACACGAGCCATCATTAGCCAAGTCTCCACTGCCTGTCCACCCTTCCACTTAAGTATCAAGCAATTTAATGTTTAACTGTCATAGCAGCAGAGACAACAGCTTCAGGCGGGCACCATACACACACACAGGCGCACACACACACATACGGACACACACACAGACACTTACAAGCGGATAGGCACCCCACTTCAACATAAAACAACCGGACACATTCCAATATGCATGTTCCATGCGACACATAACGAAGACCAACAACAGAGTCTCATGCAGGTGATGACAGAGTGGCGTGATGAAAACAGGAAAAGATACAAGTATGCGCATTCGATTTACACGGTGCAGCGCCTGGACCGCTCTCCGTCTCATTCTAACGTGAGTACTCAAGCGTTTTATATTAATTTTCGTCTAATGACGGGAGACCGGCCCGGCTGCACTGCTACTGGACGCAGAGGAGTAACGGACCGTTACCGAGTGCGCCCTCAGGAAGGTGGAGCCCCGCCGCACGGCCGCCGTCTCGCGGAAAGAGTGGGCTACCGGCTCCTCCACCTGCGAATAATTCGGCCAACTGTTTCTTTCTTTCTTTTTGTCTGTTTTCTTTAAATTTTCCTTACACATTTTTTTCCCTTAACGGAAGGCTCACAGGCAGACTCTAGGAGCACGGCTACAAAGGGCAGGCCTGGAGGCGACACACACAGAGAAGAAAGGAAAGTCAACATCAAGAAGCGAGGAAGGAATATGAGAATTTGAGAAGACAGGAATGAGAAGGGATTGTTAAGAAAATGTTTTAGTGTGATGCTCCACCAGCAGAGGAATACAAAATGGCTACAGATTAAAAAGGAGCATTAAAGATACCGCACACTAAAATGCAATAAAAATATTACGGGCATGGGTAATTTTCTCATTGCTGTAACCTCAAGTTTAAAAGAAAGAGAGAACACAACACACCGGCACACATACATACCAAGCACACACATAGGAAAACACACAGAAAATAGGGTTATGGTTAAAATGAAGAAATGTTAGGCTTCACAGGTTAAGAATCAAGTCACAAACTTACCATAATTAAAGAAAACCCAAACATAGCGCAGTGCTAGAAGGGTTTAGTATGTGCAAGGAGAAAGGGGTGAGAGGACAAGTAAAACGAAATCAATGAATACTAACAAATCAAGATAGTATGGTCTTCTCACTGTTAATTTTGAATATTGAGTGATAAACTCCGGCAACACTAGACCAAACGAAATAATTGCGGCATTTCCTACCTGGTTTATGAAATTATAGGATAATTTGAGGGACAATTTAAATGATTTGAACTGGAGCCTCAAACCTATTTCCTGAAATGAAAGTTCCAATATATACGATGATAGAAATTTTCTTAGAACTTCTTAGAACTTATGGTCGAGGTGTCTGTGACATTTGGACGTGCAGGGGCCATTTCGAGCGCAAATAAGCTAAGTACCCCGGACTGAGTGCCGTGAGCCCGGTACTCGTGTGTCACTCGCCCTCCAGAGGAAGCCTTCCCTGTTCCAAAAGTCTGATCCACACAGAGGCGGGAGGGGAAAAGGATCATGAAAAGACATGCCCGGCTCCAGACGAAGGGCGGGGAGTCGTATCTTCTTCATTTTCAGTTCAAATACTACTAAAACACCACGATTGTTGAACTAAACACTGCTCGCTGGCACAAACACCTTAAGATAATGAAAAAACACGCACGCTTGCGCGTGCCACACGCCACGCACAGCTGCACAAGCACACCCACTCGCAGCCCTCCTGCTGTCCTTACCGCATCCGCTTGGCTCTGGTCGTTGAGCGGTCCACCCAGGATGCCGTTGGGCTGGTCTACCGACAGGCGTGTCTCGGACAGCGTCCCGACGTGGTTGGCCGCTGAGGTGGAGGCCGCGCCGTTGTGGGGCTTGGTGGCGTCCAGGAGCACCTTGAGCGAGGCGATGGCGTGCAGCTGTGTCGCTTTCTCGTCAACCTTGCCTGAACACACGAAAAGAAAAGCAAACTGGTGAGTATTTTTACTTTACAAAATAGATTTCTCCCATGACACTTTAAATTTTATCTCTAGTTAAAATATTTTAACATGAGAAAGAATAATTAACTCGGACCATTCGGAGCAGCAAATGCGAGAGCACATGTAGTATCTCCGAAAGCAGATACTCCAGAAAAATCGGCTGAAAAGTAAGCAATTTCTGCCACAAACCCCTGTAAGTAGGCAACCCACGGTGCAGCACCCCTGACAGCTGGACCTTATACCGCGCCTGGTGACGTATGTGTCACACCAATTATGGTGTGACCAATTTGGGTCAGACCATGCAAAGTGACCTAAGTTTAGGTCACGCCAATTGATTAAACATTAGCCAAGAAGTATAGGAATAACACATGAAAAGGGTCACACAACAAACGTGACCAAGAATATGGTCACACCACACATGCGACATGCCACACGTCACACTTGAAATGTGACGCATGTCACATTAGTTTTTTCAGTGTCGTCCGCAATGACTGCTTTGACCTCTAATCCAGTTGCTGTACCAATAAAACGAACTCCAACATCGATACCCACAGCCTTAGGATGTGGTTGGTGTCACAAGAACGCCTGTGAAACTCGGCATAGGCAATCTGCTGCACCTGCGTGTCCGGCGGTACAGCCGGGTACAGTCCAGCCGCGGTCACCAGCCCCGCAGCCTCTTTCGATCTTTGCTGGCAGGTCGCCGAAACACAGTAATAAACGAGTGTTTTGTAGGGTTATCTTTCTTGTAACAGTTTGCGTTAGAAGCGTAACCGTGTTTAATCTATGGTGGATTTAGTGTCGTGAGGCGAGCCGCCTCACGGCGAGGCACCTTTGCTTTTATTAGGCAGCTCGCCTGTTAAGTCACAACGAGCAAATAAGTTTGACAAAGGATTATCTTAGT